CTTACCTCACCAGAGGAGCCATTTTCCACACGGAACCGTCCAGCTCTTTGAATGGCTCCATCAGCATCACTAGATATAAGCTATAAGAGAGTTTAACATAGAGGTTCCATTTCCAAAAATAGCATATGATCAGCAATCAAAGCTTACTACCATTTCTTTTTGTTCCAGGCATCCTGAGTCCCCACAGAGAAGAGATCAGTCTAGCTATTACTAATTTGACTGAAGATTTTGAATGACCCCGCAAGAACTCTAACCAGGCATGAATGACATGCTACTGTGGAAAACATGTAGCAAGAGAAGTTAAGTATTCAACTTAACCTTTAAACATCTGTACTCCAAAAACAACACACTTTCATAAAATGCTAGCAGAATTTTTAAGAAAAACAACCAAGAAACAAGAACATTTGTGTGAGCTTATTGTCAATTTATAATTATAAATAACTTTTTCTTTTCCAGCAAAAGACTCTAAGTACTAGGAATGAAAGAGCCTCTTACCAGAAAACAGTTTACTTGACCTTTTGGATTAAAACACCACAGCTTTTATGTGGAATGTATGGAAAGAAAAGATACCTGGTGTTCCCACAGTGCAACTTCCAGCAACTAGGACACCAATTTACACCCAATTAACACACACATTAATAAATATACTACCCAAGACCTTTAAATTTACAACTATAGCTAGTAGAATACTTGTGATTTCCTCCCACAGTAATAGAGCTGGAGCTCATTTTCTTAACTCCTCCCCCCTTCTGCTATCCTACAGTAAATTTGTGTAATTTCATTATGACCTTGTAATCAGAATGACACTGTTTTAACTGCTGACATATTTTCCCAGTGGAGAAGAAATTTATATATGAGAAAAAAGAAGTGCCAACTTAATTGTTGAATTTCAAGAAAATACAGAATAACTGATAGATTCTAGGGAACTGTTTTCAAAATCCTAATTCTGACTAGTTCATTTAGTTTTAAGCCCTCTCCCACTATCATGGGTCATGTACATAGCAAATTATATACACATGTATGTACACACATGGGCATGTATACAATTTATAACTTAAATAATTGCAAGTATATCAGTAAATACTACCCTAATTTTTTGCCATCTTCATATTCTAAGAGGAAGAAAGGCTCAATTTCCATCTGGAGGTAAACACAGTATTTATATAACACTTCCTTTCCTGTTACAATTAAATATTAATTAATAAGGTAGTAAAAAGATCTGCTCTCACAGGTCCGATGTATATCTATTCAGAAACCGCTTTATATAGCTTACAACTCTCAAGTCCAGCTAAGAAAGCACATTTTCCAAACTAGATCAAATTCTTTTACTTGGAAATGAAAAGGATTAGAGCTCTGCATTATAAGCTGATAAAATGAAGGACAGGCTATGTTCACTTACAAGCTCCACAGATCCATAATGCTTTCTGCTAAACTCTCCGCGTCTGCAACCCAGATCTTCAGAGACAGAGCTGGAATAGAAACACTTCATCAGTGTACACAAGTCAACTAGCCTTACATTTCCCACAGTGCTATACCCTGCCGTTAAAAAAATATCATTTCTGCTGAGCAAGGTTCACAGCATATAAACTCACTGCTGCAGGGAACCCTTCTTACAGCACGCACAATCTCTAGCAGCCATTGCAGTCTGGCTTTCACATTACTCCTAAAGGAAATGTCTGTGCCCTGACTGGAAGCAAAAGCTATGATTAAGTTAAATACTTAGGCATGATGCAATCAGAGTTCCAAAGCGGGTGGTGGCTCATAACTGTGTTCAAAATGTAAACTTAATGTCTCAAAGAGAACAACTGCACTGTACAACTCAGTAAGACCACACATAGTAGGTTGCTACTGGCTTTTTCAGTAATTTTTTAGCCTACACACAACAAGAAACAAAATCAGTACTTTAATTTTAGAGCATAAGGAAATAACAAGCATTTCAGAGGTTTCCCTCCACCACCTTAACAAAGACAGAAAAGCGATTCTAGAATGTGAAGTCCAAAATCCACCTGCATTACCAACCTCATACCATTGTATCACTTTACGCACCACCTCTTCACAAACTGCATTCCAAAAATTTGAAGACACGGATTGTCTTCAAATTATTTGTCTTATTCTTTGTCTTATTATTGTCTTTGTCTTGCCACAAACCACACCCTTTAGTATCAAAAGTATTTTTCTGACAGCACTCTCAATAAGTAAAAAAACCAGGAGTATATGTGAGCTAATGATTAAAACAAGACTGCTTTAATATCAATATTCTCATTCACGTCCCAAATTCAAACTACCTAAAACATACCTACCCTTCAAACACACTAGCAGTCCTTTTAAAAATCAGAATTATACTAAAGAGCTAATATCTGCTTTTACTCAACCTAACTACTTTATATCGCACATCACCTGTTTCATATCTTGTAAATAAAGCAGAATCTTACACCAACATAAATGCTATAGAGACAACCTCTTAAAAATTAGGCATCTTAGCTTCATTTTAGGCACAGGTAAGATTCACATTATCACGCTACTTTGCATCAGTGCATATACTCCCTAATGAATTCTTGCCTGCATACCTCTTTGTATCTCCATTCTTGGTTACCATCAAGATTTGTACTCAACTCTCTCACATATCACATCTGCTAATTTAAAAAATACACTGTGATTAAAATCAACTGTTCATATGAATTTTCTTCATTGAATTACATCCTTCCTCAGTCCTGATCTATATAAGAAAAATGGCTGTTCAAATTATGACAATTTTAGTGTTTTTATCCTATTAAGATGAAATGCCAGCACTAAAGAGGTTAGTTCATCAGTGCCTCAGATGGGCTCAGTAGTTTAAAATTTACTTACATTGTGAAGTATTTAAATACAGATGCGCCTTTACTCACATGAATATAACTAACCAACTTGCATGCATTTGTACAGCATCTACACAGTATACTCCACCTCCCTTTCCCATTTCTCTGGAAATGACAGATGCAGTCGTATAAATGAACAGTAATAATGAAGAGGAGAGAGGACTACCTTCCCCCCGTTTCAACAGAAGCTCCTACTAAACTGTGCTGAAAGCTGAACAACGAAGCACAATCAAATGCATTTGCTAATCTAAATGTAGACATTTTTAGGATCCTAGTGTCAAATCACAAGTTTTGTCTTTCAGAAGTTCGACATTGGAAAACACTTTGCCTGGGGGTCGGGAGAGTAGTGGCAGAAGGGGGTGAGTTTGCACCTGTGTGATCAGAAGGATATAGCCTGCGTGCTCCCTTGGGCTTGCCATTCTCCTTAGCATCTACATGTTTACTTGTCAGTGTCGGTCAATCTATTTTCATTTAAGAAAGTCACAAGCACTAACGCAGCCAGCAATCGTGTAATTGCAGTGATATCCCAGCGCTATCTGCTTGCACGAGCACAAGGCTGAATACGCTGCGAAACCGACTCCGAAGCCGCTCGTCCGACTCCGCCCACACCACCTGCAGCAGCCCGAGGGAGACGGCTGCAGCTCGGGGGTCCTGCTGCTCCGCTAGCCCGAGGACCAGCCGCCCCACACCACAGCAGCGTCCAGCGCCGCTCGCCCGGGCGGACCCTCCAGTCCCCGGTCCGTAGAAGCAAAGCACCGCCTTCCTCTCCGCCATCGCCGGTCGGCAGCGCGCCGCGCCCCCCCCACCCGAGCTCAGCCCCCTCCTCCGGTACCGCTGAGTGAGGCCGAGGAACCGGGTGGATGCCCCTTCCGCGCTGCTCAGCTCCATGCGGGCGGCCAGACGGAGACTTCACCCCTCCAGCGTTGCTCCCGCGGCTCCGTCCCGAGCGGCAGAGATGCCGGCAGCTGTCCGCGTACATCCCGCTACCCCGGCGCACGGCCCCCGCGTCCGCCCCGGGCCGCCAACCACTCATATGCCGCGTCGGCCGCTGCGCCGCCGGCAGGGCCCGCCGGGAGTTGTAGTCTCGGGCTGAGAGCCGGCTGCCCTCCGCCGCCGGGAGCTGCAGTCCCGCGAGGGGAGCGAACGGGTCCTTCGCCCCTACGCCCCTGTGCCAGTACCGCCCCTCCGGAATGTCGGCTTTATAAACGCCAAGGTAAAACATCGTTCCAGACGAGAGTTTTACATGGAAAGTAAATACTATTCGATATGCCCGCAAGTAGCAGAAACTAGTCAGTTCCAAGACAGCCAAGAGGATAGGTCAGATTTGCTGCGGAATGCTGCTCTCAAATCCAGATTGAGAGGATTGATGAGTTTGTCTTTACAAACAAGCTATGGGTCTGCTGATAAGATGCAGCTATCAGTGAGAGACAACAGAAACAATGGCATAGATTCCACTGAAAGATGAAAGAAGCACTGAAAGAGCGCCATGAATTCCACGAGAGTTAAGAATTAAGAAGGGATTATGCATTGGGGGTGGGGGGGGGGAAGGTACCCCAGGTGTCAGGCGTTCCGGGAAGCCTGTACCTCTCAAGTACGTCAGCCTATGGGGAAAGAGAGAAGGGACGTACGGCCTAGAATTAGGATAAAAAGGAGGCTGCACCCTCCAAAAATTTGAGAGACCCCAGGGGAATGCCCCATGGCCTCTCCCTTTATTCAAATATTCAAATAGGATTCCTCTGTCTCCTTTTTGGACATAAACCTCTGGTCTTTGTGGATTGATTTTCCTGACAAGATGACACACCACAATGATTCATTTACACTTACATGACTGAAAGTTAGCTTGCGTGGTGACTCACAGGCCAGATGAAATGCAAAGGACTACAAGACACATCTACACAGCATTGTACTTGGTACTGAGAAAAGCCAGTCATCAGAGTTTTTCAAAAATCTATCATAATAATAAACATATTACCTAGAAGTACAGCGTCCATTTAAGGGCCCCCTAAGGCTTTTCACAACCACAGGAGACTCAAGGACCCAGGCACACTTAGGGAGAGGGTAGGTAGCCAACTTGTTGAGATTTGGCCCATGTGCCACTAAACTCATCCGTTGATTTTGGATTTCTTTCTTGTAGCTAAGAAGACTGAGAGGCTAACCAGCCATCATGGCACTTTCCAAGGCAGACTTATTTCAGGTCCAACATGGATTCATGTCGCTGGTCATCCAAAAGATAAGTTGGGGGCCACGGCTTGGAAATGGGATGATAGTAGGGTAGTGGGTTGGAAATTACTGGGACAGGTTTAAAAATTAGTGGAGGGGAAACGGATGTCCTTTAAGGGGTCTCTTAGGACAGCTAAAGGGAGTGGCTCTACTTTTGATTGCTGGTGTAGGGTATGCAGTGCAGAACAGTTCCAGTCTGTACTGTCCAGTCTGTGTTGTGTTGTCTGGTATGCTGTGTTGTCTAGTATGTCTTTGGGATCCCTTGGATCAGATATCTCTGCCTTTTCCCCTGGAGGGCCTTATCACAAGCATTGACCATCATTTCTAGATTCTTGAACATTCGCGTTTCTCGGCACTGCGCTGATATAGTTTGTTCTTTTTTGAAATCCTCTACCTATCTTCGAATGGGTACAAGTCCTTATCCACTGTAATGAAACATTGCGGTATATAACTGCCCAGTCTCTGAGTCTCTTCTCAGAAGCATCGAGTCGGACATCTTTTGAGGCCTCATTCCTGGCTCTGTCACCATCCATCCTTTCCAGCTGTGCATTGTAACATCCTGGGGCTTGGAAGATTGAATGGATATGAGGAGCATTCTAAATGTAGAATGTAGATCTTGATCATTGTGACCAACAGTTCTTTTAACAGGTCACTGTTGAAATCTTTTCTTTGGCTCCTTAGAGCCTCCTCCATCCACCATTGCCATACCATTGGCCATCTCTTTTGGCGTTGTCTTGGTCCTTTGCCATTATTCTTCTTGCTGGGATCTTTTTTTATCACACTTCTGTCATACTGCTTGTGGCATAATATGTTGTTTGTGTTTAGCCTGGAACTGCTCTGCCCTGTGGGACAGATGGGGGGGTAGTTGGAGTAGAAAGAAGACTTTACAGGTAACGTTTTGTTTTGCTTAGCCACCTGAGCCACATCTCAGATGGAGCGACCGTGGCCAGTCCGTGCAGAAGGCAGGCAGAGACAGCAGAAGCAGTACAGAGGTGTCTTGCAGTTTTCTAGTCATTTGTCTTACTTCACGCTGTTGTGAGATTCTAGGCAGTTTGCTTTGAGAAATGTGAACTTTGGAAAGGTTAAACTTTCCCTGTGCAGCTGAGTGACTTTGACAAATCTTTTTGCAGAGGGATAGGAACCCAGTAAACCTGATACGAACGCAGGAGGCCAGAGGAATATGGCAACAAGGTGGGTCGGCACCCCAAGTCCGAGCTGCAGCCTGACTTTCTTGTTTCTATGTTTCCCTTTTCATTCACCTTTTCATTTCATTTTGAAGATGAAAAGCATTCAGCACAGCCAGGTATCAGCACTGGGGGAGACCATGACCGGATGAATACTGGCAGCCAAGATGAGTATAGTTTCCAGCACAGATTCAAATGCTACCAAAGTTGTTGTAGTAGCAATGAAACTATAGCCTTTGGCGTTTTTTTGTGTTTTACAGGTGGCCTGCAGCATTTAAACTGCCAGTCCAATATGACCAAGACTCTTCCAGAAGGATGTCACATCCAAGCAGTTTTGGACGGAAACTACCTCAGCCACACTTTTGGACCCTGAGTTGCTACACTCCTTTCCATTTTGTTTTGCCCCTTCTCCCTGGGCAGGTCAGTCGTTGTTTGGCTTTTCAGGGGAAGCCTAAATGGTGGCTATGTTACAGCATTTTTCTTTGTCCCGATTTCTAGGAAGCAAAGCTGGATATCTGCAGTCAAGATCAAGCAGGCAAGGTGAGCAGTGACAGGTGGAGATAGTGAGTTATTATTGCTTGGGTGCCACATTGTGGTGCAATTCTCAATATCCATTGCTGTTTGTGTGTTTTAGGCAGCCCACTGATATTACGCTGAGGCCCCCTCACCGACCTGCCAACAGACCTGGTTTGCTTCTCTTGTGAGCCCCAGGAAGTATTACAGGAGTCTGTGATGAAGTTTTGGCCTTTTCCACGTGCAGGTGCTGTCAGGGTAGCCTTTAAGAATGACCAAGGGGTTGCGGTGAGTCGGGGATGTTGGGAGGAGGAGTGAGGGTCCACTCAAGTTTCAGCAGTGCCACATCACCGTGTGCCCTGCGCAGGCGTGCTCTGCGACGATGGCATCTGGCTCCCAGTGTGGCCGAAGTGTGTGGACCCAGGATATGGGTGTTTTCAGGAGACCGTGAGTAGCAGAATTGTCAAGTTTTGGCTGATGTGCTGCTAAGATCACACACTGACGTTCAAAACAGAATGTCATCTTTATTGTATCAATGAAAGATTTATTATATCTTTTGTATCAAAAAAATATTTATTATATCTTTATTGTAGTGAGAGTATTGTATTGAGACAGCATCCTGGTGACAGCAGGGACTCGCCAGACAGCGAGGTGGCCTTCCTTGGCACCCCATGTGGATTCTCTCTCCTGGGCTTCTGAAAGATAAGTCGAAGGCTTTGACCCACAGAGGGGGATGAAAGCGGGGCGCCGGGTCAGGACTCGTGGCCAGGGATTTTTGAGTCAGCTTTGGGGACGGGGCAGTCCCAGCTGTGGCCCCTTAGGCCACATCAAGGGAAAGCCTCACTTTGGCTCACAATGCTGAGGTACGCAGGACAGAGCAGTCCTGGGGTGTGTCGTGTCACTCGTTTGTTGTACCTTCTGTGTCTTTTGTGCCTCTCGTGTCATCTGTGTGTTGCCGAAGGCTTTCTAGGGGCTTACAGGAAACCCTGGCGTCACTCTTAGCATCTCTGATCTCTGTGTTCCTCTGCCCGGTGCCGAGGCCATCAAAGCTTTGGCTCGGGAGCTCTCAGAGGCCTCGGAATCGCATCACTCTTTAGAAGCATCCGATCAGATGTCTTTTAGAGGTCTTGTTCTGAGCTGCGTCAACAGCTGTGCCCCACAAGGATCCATTGTTGCAGATTAGGACTTGTACGAATGTAAAGATGAGTGGAAGATTGTGGCCATAAAGATTTTCGGGCATCCATCTTGGCAGTTCTTGGACTAAGTCGTTCTGTTGGCATCTTCTTCCTCCGGGGTTCTACAAGCCTCATTGGCTTGCAGTCTTTCTCACTTGGGTCTTCTCGTTCCACATTCTCTCAGTCCTTGCGGCCATTCTTCTAGCCCAGAGTTTTGTCTCCCTGTTGTGTCCCCCTGTCTGTTGTCTTGTGTGTCACGGGTGTCTGGGTGTATTTGGCCCAGAGCTGCTCTGCCCTGCTGCCCAGCCTGGCTGTAGGTGTGAAAGGACAAGTCCGAGGCCCGTGTAATTTGAAATTTGGAATGTAGGCTGTAGTTGTAGTCTGGATGGTATTCCTAGATTGACACAAGATGTCTGGAGCTGCGAAGTTATCCTGCAGCACTTTGACTTTTGTCCTAGCTTTCTTTCAGATGCGGATGGATTAAATTTGTGGCAGAGACCCCCATCCCAAATGAGGATGTACCCCCAAGAATGTCAGTCACAGGTTTTGACTGCTGCCAATCCCTGGTGTTGTTTCGGGGTTTCTTCCCAGGTTTTTGTTTCTTTAGGTGTTGGGTTTTTTGTTGCCTCACTCATGTTATTTTCTTATTGTCTGTGGTGCTCCACACGCCACTGTGCCCCACTAGATTCTTATATCCTGTTCTCTGTCCCTATTCTTTTATAATTTGTCTCTTTTGTGCTGCCCATCCCAGCTTTGTTTGTTTTCCTTTTCCCCTCGTTGTATTTGGTGTTTCTATTCAGGGTTTTTTGCCTCACTCATGTTCCTTTTTTTATTCTTGGTTGCCATATTGTGCTCCCAGTTCCACTGGTTCCCACTGGATCCTTGTGTCTCATTCTCTGTCCTTGTTCTGTTTTAATCCCCCTCCATTGTGCTGCCCCTCTTTTTTTTTTTTCCTCCTTCATCTTTCAGCCTGTTCTTTCTTTTCTTCCTGTGTCCTCTCTGCTGCCACTCCCTCTTTCTGCCTCTAGCCTGTGCCTGGGGTTTTGGGGGAGGGATTTCTGGGACCTGCCCCCCTTTTCTTGTTGCAGCAGAGCTCCTTTTTGGGAGGGGGTCTAGACCTAGAAGGGCTTCCAATAAAGCAAGGTGCTGCTGTCCAGGGCAGTCGGAGTTGTTCTGTGCCTTCTTTGGGGGTGAGAAGCAAAGGCTGAGCGGGACGGGGTGGAGACTGGGGGGCTCCCATGTCACTTCGGGCACGCCGAGGACCCCACCACACGCTGCGCTGCGCTGGAGGAGCAAGGTGAGCAGGGAATGGGGAGGGCTCGTGCTGGTAACCCTTCCCCAGAGGGGACCCCAAGCTGCCAGGAAATTCCTAGAGAGGGCTGGGTGCAGAATACAAAAACCTATTGAGTTTTTCTGGTTTGTATGTTAGTTATTGGCAAGGAATAGGAATTTATGTCTAAATTCCTTTGGAAAGAAGCCCTCTCTCTGTCCACTCCATTGTTATGATTTTATAATGTCAGTAACAGAAATGGGTTTTGTTTTTACATATATTACTTACATGTGTGATAAATGTAACTTTGGAAATCTTAAAAACGAGTTTCACTTAATAAATTATAAAAATAATTTAATATAAACAAAAGACAATTAGGAGACAAAAGAAATAAAGCAAAGGGTTAAAACGGCCGGGTGCCCTGGTGGGTTACCAGGAACACACCTGGTATCTCAGGAGTGTCCTTTTTATCCCATCTTTGCTGTGAGAGGTTAATGCATATTCAAGCATGTCCCCTCCCTGGTTCCACCTTCTTGGATCATGCTGCAGATGGTCACTTGTTGATAACAGCCTGGGCCCCTCATCCTTCCCCTGAGGGCAGCTGGTCTTCATATCTTCTGCTGATAACAGTTTGGGCTCTATTGTTCTGATAACAGCTTGGGCCCCACTGTCCTTGCCCTCTGGGGTTTCCTTGCCTTGTACCTAGGAAATTCTTTTAAACTTAAGACTTGTTAGCATAGCTAAAAAGTATTTAATATATAATATTCATCTGCGAAAGCCAATATCACAATACAAATTTATAACAAACCCCTCCTCTTCTTTTTTTATAAATCATTTGGCTTGAGCAATAATTCTTGTATTCTAGCTTCTAGCACTCGTTCATTTTTCTCACAAATCAGTTTAGCTTTTTCCAATAGATCTTTCACATTATTTTGTTTTCATTTTTTATTTTTTTTTTTGTGCCATTCCAGATGTAGCCAATTTTGAGTCTGTAGGCATTACTACTATTTGCATGCCTTGCACTACTTTGGTGATTAGCCAAATTAAACAGGGGATTAAACAAGGAAGAAATATTAAACCAGCTGTAGCACTGCTACAAGAAGAAACTTAGCTTCTTCTACTACTCTATCCCCAATGTATTATCCCACCAGTTAGTGGTCATTACTGATTTTCATTTTTGGACTGGCACATGGGCCATTTTTCTGATTTCTTTGGCGATATCTAGAACGGCATTTTTATTGTCATTGAAAACAACAATCTTATGTATTAATTTTCTCACAGAACACCCCTTCTTTTATCCAATAAATAGTCTAAAGCCAGCTTATTTTGATATATTGCCACTGGCTTTCATCACTGACTGGCTATTAATTCTATAGCTCCAGCTGTTTCACTGGTTATGATTTCTACAACAACTTGGAGTTTCATAATGCAAAAATTGGGGTTCGATATCTCCAACTTCCATCTTGTGCCCAAGAATGTTTCTAATATGTGTTCAGGGGCTATTTCTCATCTCCCCATTTTTGAGGTACTCAAACTATTCCCTTTTATTTCTTTTTAGGACCTCAAAAACCAACACCCCCAACTAATTTCTGTCTTGTCCTGACAAAAAGAAAAATCCTAGCTGAATCATTCTCAGAGTACAATTCCCCTTCCATTGCGAAGGGAGCTTTGGGTATGCCCTTTTTTCACATATCCCAAAATAAGACATCTGGTGCTTTCTAATAGTCATTTTTTTGTTGATTTTTATTTCCTCAAAATTTGGCTATTTCCAGAGTAAGGATTTTTCCCTGTACTTTTACACTGGAAGAATCTGGTTCTATTACTATGTACACAATTTTTTTTCTTTTACTTTCCTTGGGGTCTAATACCGAGTTGGTTTCTCTGGAACTTACTATGTACAAGTTTTATTACCAGCTTTATACTTTTTACTAGGAGTATTTCTCACTTCATGAAGAAGTTTTC